GCATCTGCTCGATACAAGTCATGAGGTGGACATCGCAAGACCCTTCAAAATTTTCAATATGAAAAAGAGTTCAATTCTGATTTTTGGTTCAAAAATGAACTCTCTGAGCAGGCATGTAAGCATGAGTAAGCATGTTTCTGTACATAAACTTAATAAAATTTTTGGACTGTAAGCAGCTGATGAGAAGCCAACGGATTAAATGGTGGTACCATTTCATTCTGCACAGACTGTTGTTCTCGTATTATGATTATAAGTATTGTCGCGTTAACAACCCTGTTGTCTACCCCATTCATCTGTACGTTTTTCTATTACACCTAATTCTATATAAAAGCTTTCTTCGTGTTATGCAACCTCTGACATGTACTCGCTAATAGTCAAAGTCTTAGTTATCTAGCGATTAATTTATAGATAACGTTTACATCATATTCGCTGTTCAGAAATATTTCGATGACGTACTTTTATTATTATTTGATAAAGTTCCAAGCGGAACATAGGGCTTCAACAGCACAACTACTTTCATTCTTTTTGTCGGCAGTTCCGTTTAGCTAGCTTCATGATTGCCGATAAGCTCTCATCTACTCCTCACACCATCTCTCCCAAGTCACCCTCAGACATTCAACTCGTCGTTTCCCATTCAATGTCCTGGCGCACTTACCTGTACAATCGCAATTATATACACTTATTTTTGTAAGTGTGTACATTAGGTTTGTCCGGTAAGAATAAAAATTAGTTACATTTATTGTTGTCAAGACATTTCAAAAATGTGATGAATAATCAAACTGTAACTAGGAAGGTGAGGATGAAGATCGGTCAGAGAGTAGTGGTGATGTGTTGTCAAAGACATAGTTAATAATCTCAATCAACGCATAAGAGAAGCTGAATAAGTGTATTGTAGTTACGTATTAAGATGAATAGCTTATTGAGTGAGTTTCGATTAGCATGCACATAGACACAAAGAAAAATATGCAATTACATGAGAGTTCTAAAAATTACAGATGTTATAAGGAGTTAGAAAAAAGCCAGCACACAAACATCAAGTCAGTATGAGTCAACACGGTCGTTGGCATGATAGTAGAAGTGGTTGAATGATTTTCTATTGTATACAGAACTCTGGTTTTCCAACTGAACGAGTGAGGCTTCAGCAATACGAAGGAAACGGAAGCGTATTGCCTTTGGTAGTTTATTCTTCACTTTGCAGATCACTTTGAAGTAGGCGTTTGTTGAGATGGAATGGTCAGTGTTGACGAGATGTTCTCCTATCTCACTCCTTATATAGCCACTGTTACTCTTTTACAGCCATGCGGGGTAGTGCCCTCGAATCCTTTTGGACAGTAAACGCGTCGAACGACCAATGTACTACTTGGCTCCACAGCGACAGGTGAACTGATTTATGCATATAGAAAAAGCCAGATGCGTGATCTTGCCCTTAAGGCTTCTGCAGATCAATGGACGACTGGAGAACCCTACTCTCAGCGTTGCTGCGAAGAATGTTCCTTTCAAAGATGCTGAAATTCTCCTCTTGAGGATATCGTAAGCCAAGTCCCCCTCGAAATCCAGATTCATGTAAAGTATCTTTTTCGAAACAAGTGAAGTTTCATTCCTCTGGACATTTGGTTTGATATTCTTGTCAACGAATCTTGGTGGGTGTCCATTTCGGATGAAGTTTTCTTTCAGAGGATCCAGTTCTGCTTCCTGGTCGTCAGGACCGCGAATGCGTCGGAACCAAGTGGCAAGGGATTTAATCAGATTTCGCCTCCGCTAATAGGAACCCAACTGCAGAAACTTGTTAGTTGACCGTTCCAAGTGGGTTTTCTATGAATTGACCTTCTTGAGGTTTCACTGTCTCGCCATCATTCTCTCCTACCGCGTGGCCGTTTAGAATCATTTCTTCTCTTGTCGCTTCTTTTTTACCAAGTTTCCTTCAACAACACTTCCAAAAAGTTTCTCCACACGCAGGTTTCTTTGGCGATGTCTCTTGGTGTCTCCAGCCTTTACCTGAGTGCTGTTGTGAAGGTGCCATTCGTAGTTTCGTCCTTCAGTTTCTTAGTGTTAACCTAGAGCTGTTGTCTATCCCGAATACATTGAAGGCATCCAAATTGACCTTAAAGGTTCCTATTGTGACGACAGAAGACAGGGTCCAGGCAACAGATCGTTTATTGGAAAAATCAAGAGATACTTATAGATTTTATCTACATTATTATTCGTTATTTTAGCAGAGAAAGAACGTCTTCTGATTGGTTCTTCTTGTTGAAGGTTATTCTGTACTGTTTGTGACCGTTGCCTACAAAGTTATCTATATATCTGCGAATCATATTTGCACACACTTAGTCTGCTGTGATTGATTGTTGAGTTCCTCAGGGTTAGGCTTTGCTCTTGTTTTTTCTCATGACCCCGATTCGGGACGTAAACATAGACGTAAATTGTTGTTTACAATTTTGGCTTACAGACAGATCTCACTACACTCGTCCCCCCGTCAAATAGTTTAGACTGAAGTCGGCTTGATCTTCTTGGTGCTGGCGTTGTCGTTGGCTTGTCTTGCTGTATGCATTTCTGGAGCTCGCTGACGTTCACTCGCTTCTCTTTGTTTGTATTATTGATAGTATATAAGCGACCCTGTCTCGCGGTGACCGTGTATGGTCCTTCCCACTTTTGTAGCAGTTTTCGCTACCCTGGCACGTATCCGTCGGTGTTTCGTCTATCTCCACTTTTGACTTGATCTCCGATCTCGAATGCAGGACACTTCTCCTTTACCCTCTGTTCGGATTTCACAGCTTCCACTTTCTGCTTTCGTTTTACACTGTTGATGGCTTCTTTCCGCTCCGTCCGCCATCTCGTCATAGTCGACTGCTGGTGGCGGGGCCAGGTTTTGTTATGTATCAGTAGTCGTGGTTTCCTGCCATACATCAACTGAAACGGTGCTTTCTTCGTCGTTTCTTGGGCGGACGCACAATGTGCTAGCAGAATCAGTGGAAGCTCTGTCTCCCAGTTACCACCCTTTGTGGCCAGTCACTCTTTCAGGAAGCGGTTGAAGGCATCCAAATTGACGTTAAACGTTTCCTGTCACTGGATTATGAATGGTCTGCGCCGGCATCTGCTCCTTTTCTGTTTTGTGTGTCAAGATATGTCTCCATCTTCTTAAGTTTGAGATGAAGTCTATGTGATTTTTCATGTGTCCATTCAGTGAACCCCATGTAGCGTTGTGTATGTCCTTGTGCGTGTCAATGGAGTCTGAATGGATGTGACCTCACGTTAACATGTATCCCAAAGCAACTGCACTAAATAATAATGTGTTCACTGGAGCACAAGAGTTTGCTGGCAGAATAATCACCAACTGAATGCATTTATCGTAGTGCCTTATCGTAATGTGAAATCAACACTATCCAAAAACACACTGAAATTGAAGTGCACTATAACATGAATATGATGTATGTGCAATATGACTTCTCGTTTTTTCCAGTTTTATCTGTTAATTGGATTATACTTGAAGTGGTAAGACGTAGGCACAACAGAAAAGGTCCATGCAAAATAATCTTTGAACGTGTGACAAAAGCCATACCGTGATAAAGTGCAAGAATGTGTAGTAATGCTATCGCTAGACTATCCTGTATGCACATCATGTTAACGAATTAGGCACAATATTTCTCATGATAAGCACGAAAGGTAACGGCAAATTTCTGTATTATGCAGAAGCAGAGGCTTTCTATCGACCTAAATTATACGCACAGGAAGATTCTATGACTTACCTTCAGTCATTGCCCTTTTCCGCTTTATGTGCCATTACGTTGCTATTTTTCCCTACTGTTCTAACATGTGCGTCGGTGGCACAATGGTTAGCACTCTCAGCGACCATGGACATGGTCCGGGGTTCAATTTCCTGCCAACGATTACCTGATATCAATGGTCGGCCTGCAAAATTTGGGTTACCGATATCACATGCTGAAAATTCCATACTTGTACCAAAAATATGGTGTGGAATCAAGCTATAATAAAAAATGTATACTCTTACGCACAATGTTATTATCTCGGTTTCTGGCATATCGTTTTGAATTTCCACAATTATTTCGCACTTAAGTAATACAATCTGTATAACACATTTCTGGTCTCTTTTGAGATCAAACTCCTAGCAATCAGGAACTCCAGTCATATCTCCTTACCGCTAGCATGTTTAATTATTTTATGTTTTGTATTCCTGACCGAAATTATGGCTAAATTAGGCAATTTAAAAATAAACTGTGCTATTTATCTGTATCAATCTACTAGGGCATGATTTCTGTCATTTGCTTCCCCATAAATGCTGGAACAGGCATGTGAAAAGATACAATCTGTGTTAGTGCCACTGAAGCGCATAGAGTTAGTTCCAATGACAATGAGACTTTAAACTAGCAAGTTGTACACAATAGAGCTCAGTCGGTGACAGAGTGTGGACGATTTTGAAAAAACGAAATATTATGAGTAAAGTCCATCACAAAAAGCTAACTCAAATTTTGTAAAGATTTAAAAAATAAATAATCGTAACCTTACAGCGAATCACATTTAATGTTGGGCGAATTTCAGTCATTTAAATGCGATGCTGAAAGACTTCCAAAATATTCCATCCTGCATGTCAAAAATGATTCATTTCAGTATAAGCTTCACGACTAATAAATCAATGAGAAGTGCTATGTAAAAGACAGTCCGTTGTCATGAAATACCCATTGCGGAATGCTGCAAGGAATTATTCTAACAGTTGTCAAAATGAATTAAGCTGAAGAATGTAAATACATAACCACCTTAGCTGTGGTAAATACAACCTTATACACCGAATACTCTGAAGTATATTGGAAAGCTCAATTATTACATACTCTATATTTGTGAACATATTTATAATGTTATATATAAATCATTGCAAACACATTGTGAACAAATTTCTAATATCACACATCAGTCATTTACATAATTATTCCGCTTCTTCACGATTCCCACATATTGGATTTCAAATCTTTGACAGATAACAGCCAGTATCACGAGCGATTCCTAAATTGATCAGAGGAAAAACAATTACAATTGTGAGTATTTGATATTAATCATCAAGTGTACGAAAATGATCTATTCCTAATGTTGAGGAGTTAATTAGAGTGTGCTTCTGACACTAGCCTTTGGAATATATGACTGTAGTTGTTCTCTACGAATAGTAATGAAATATACTAGCCCATTGGGAAAACGAAAATCCAAAATAATCCTGAGTTAGTACAATGAGATCGGAAAGTGATCGACGAAAATGTTTGTGCTTCAAATAGTGAAGTGTCAATTTACGACTTTTTTCGAAGTATGCACAAACTCAGATTTCACTTCTCCGTACTTCATTGCTCGTAACCCTTTTTATAGTAGTCATTCGATGGTTAGGGAAACCCACACATATTGGACAGAATTCGTGTGTGGTGAATTTAGTTTCCAGAGGAAGCAAACTGGTGTTTTTCGATCAGACTGAGAGAGTTTCCCAGTTGTGTTTGTTCTCGCCGACTCATCATGAAGTTGGAAATTATTCGCATTCATTGCAGAATCGCTCATTGTTAAGACTAGATGCGAACAAATCCTCCCAAATTATTGCTGGCAATAACTACCACTACATGAAACACGGGATATGACAAGTCACAAATTCACCGCACTCAAATCACATTCTGTCTTTCTATTCACTTTTCTGTGTAAAACTGAATCAGCCCTCTGACATCATCAAGCATGATACCACCATCTGTAATCTTCTGTTCACCTAGACGAATATTGGGAAACAGGAAAAAAGAGTTTGACTCTGTCAGAAACATTATCACCGCAGTCGGAGGAGAACGTTTAACTGCCTTAAATTAGTCACGTCAACTGTGTTTACGCAAAAGTCTTGCTTGGATTCATACCATGAATATGTACACATGATCATTATCACTCACGATTCAATATACTCCCAGATACGCTTCACAACTTAATGCCTCGTATTTTGTGGCACCTTTATGTCGACTGGTATAAGTGTGCTTGGCAAAAGACTGTCCAGACATCACGAGTGACGATGAAAGTTACTCGGACATATGATGTCATGTGCATTTTTGGAGTAAATTTCGGTTTTCCGACAGAACTCTGAAAGACTGCTCGTCGCTGCGACGCAAACAAAACATGTTGATTTAAGGAAGCCCTCTGAGGCTTCTGACATCAGACAGTGTACACAGAATCCTCCCATACAACACCCTGACATTTACTACGCTTCCACTTCTGTGGAGAGAATGTAGACAGTGAGTGAAGAAACATGTCACAGGTTCCTCGCCCTAAATTCTTCGTAGGTCTTACACAACCATAATTCCTATTAGTCAGACAGATGATTGAGGTGACGTAGAAACAAGCGTGGTTCAAAGCTCACTTCAGCAGCATGGTCTCATTCATTTCTTGCCCAAGTATCGGTCCAGTTCACATCCTACCTTTGTTTCGCCAATCAGACTGGTAGGTGAATTCGACTTTAAATTCCATAAGCATATTCCATAAGTAATCCGGCCAACAAAACGACCGAATCACTTTCACTATCCCACAGATTTTGACAGATGTTATGTCTGTTTGAGGGCGGTTCAGCGACACGATTGGTAGCTTATCTCTTTCTATCTGTATGACAGAAATGCGTTTGAGGTACAAGAATGGTTCCTGACACACAATGACAGTCAAAAGCCATGTACACACGATTCATCGTGTAGACGGGAGAATTTAGTATGCACGGCCACCAAAGTTAATCAGTAGGATGTCCACAAGCACAAAGAACATCTGAAACCTGGTCATTCGTTTGTAAGAATTCACCACTGAAAATTGCTAGCAAGGGAAAACGCTGAAATATTTCAAACATACCGATTCATTTTGAGTATTATGGCCATCGTAGCGAAGAATGCGACCAAACACAATCCACCGAATATGTAGATTGCAATATTGATCCAGTATTTGCTGCCGTGAACCAGAGTGTGTATTGTTTTCAAGGCATCTACATCCGCACTGACATCCTGGAAAATGAGATCAGTGAAAATAATAGCTGGTGATGGTTGCAGACTTTTGAACAAGCGGGTACCATGAACTGAGATGCACTATTATGATTGTGTAATTGGATGGATTTTTCAGTTCTTAACTACAGCTTTTCATCTATGTATTCACTCACCTACACGTTCGTCGTTTTCCAAACAACTGCTGGCACATTTTGTGGAAAAAGACTTCCCTACTTAGGTTCTCTATAAATCCCTTCGCTATATCACATTTGCTGTAGATCAGTGGGATAGTTAGCGATTGCAAGCGTTCTACCTTGGTTTTCGCGCAACCTCCAAACAACCATCGCACGAAAGCATAGATGCTGAACGAATCACGACATAACGAGAACACCCGCATGGTTATCGCCAGTTAGCAATTTTTTCAAATAGGCCACCTTATGAAAATCTCTTGCTACATTTTTGATACATCTTTGAATGTGTTACCTTCACAAAGACACCAACATCTTCTCTTTACTAGGTGTCCCAAAGGAGTGATACTAAGTGTACGAGTATCATAAAAGGAACTACAAATTCTGACTAACGCTTATCATCCTCATTCTTTTTGCATACTTGTTTCACGTGTGCCTCGATTTAAACTAATTATGAAACAGTTAAATAACGCTTACCATTACAATTCTCATAATCGGAAAGAACAGGTTTCCAGCCATATTTTGATATGGTAAGCTTCTGAAAGACGTAAATAAATAGAGGGGTTAATTGGCCGTTTCGTCTTCGGGGTTCTTTGTTACAAAACTCTCCGCGATACTAACTCGATACTAGAGCATGTTACTAACTCGAGTAAAGCCATTCTAGAAAAGTAGGTGACACATTAAAGTCCAAAAGTTGGAAAGGATGTAAAAGTTATGAGCATTTCTCGTGTAAGGAAATGCCCTCCAGAAATCGTAATAATAAAGTATGTGTATTAATGGACTGAGGTTTGGTTGAATATTTAAACATCCGTAGGTATTTCTCGCCATATTGGAAAGTGAATTGGACTTGCGGAGATATTCAAATGAGATCGTATGTCAGGTGCTTAAGTGAAACCCCAATGCATGGGGATGTGTTGGACGCTCTAAAGTGACGTGAAGGGAACCACATCATAAGGATGCGAGGAACTACGATGTCGTGAGTCTACTGGAACTCCTTGTGCCACTGGGAAGGAATGGAATCAACAGCGGAGCAGGAAGAGAGCAATGAATACCAATTAGGATATGCTGATTCACAGTTATTGAGGAAGTCCGAAAGTTCAAAGACGTCTGTTGATAGGATGCGCATGCAAACAGAACACATTGATACGCACACATACAATTAAAATATATAATCGCCTCCACCATCGTATAAAAAGCTTAGTGGCTTCACTGGTGAAACCATTGATCGAGCAAAGCTCCACAACTCTGTATGAATCCATGAAGATATTACCTAAGAACTACGCTCAAACTCTTTGCATTTTATAGGATCATTCTGTGGACAGAGCCGTTCTAGGTAACATTTATAACCAAGGTTCTAATGCGTAATACCTATCGGTTGTAAAGACTTCGTTATACCAAAGGGAAATTATATCACATTACGTATTTCTCCAGCGGATATCAGGTCGTCCTGCTTGAAAATAAATATGTCTACTCGGGTACTGCAAACTTCGTATTAAATGGAAATCCTAAAAGTCTTGGAAAAAGTTCTCGTGCGCTAAAAATACATCTAACGACGGAAATCATTTCATTCTAAATTAACAGCCGACGTACTTAGAAACTCTCAGCTGTACTACACTGTAATCACAGCTGACCTAACAATTATTTCAGAGAACAAACACTACTGAACACACAGCGTCTAATTTTACACTTCGGCTACCTCATTGAAAAACACATCGACGCAGTTGAATCTGGACTCAATAACTGGCAGTCGTGTGCTCTATCGTTCACTGGTTCAATCGTGTAAATGCATAAATGCAATCAAGGACTCCCTCGTCACTTCTGAGTATGATTTCCACAGATTTGTAAAATATTCGACCTTATTAACTGGACGTGCACACAGCTCAAGTGTACAGTGTAACTACTTTCTTGTTCGCTAATTAGACGCACACCTTCCCACTACATATGAATGTGCAAGAATATTCTGAAAAACAGAAAAAGCGAAACCAACTGACTTACTTCAGACTTGGATTGTCTATGTAGTAATTTAACTGCAGAACTTGGTGAGCCCCCAACGTGATTCCCGTCACCTGTAGTTATAATCGAAGTTCATGAATATACAAGTTCTTAATATTCGGTTAGTGTATGTCTGAAAGACTAAATTGTACACAATCGTGGAAAACACTTAGTTCCGAAGCATTCCCAGTAGTTGCATTATCTAAACGAAAATTCTCTGTATAGTGCTGTTTATGAGGAAAGTTACGAAGACAAATAGAACAATCAGTTGTCGGTGTGAAAAGTGACCTACACAACGCATTCGAATGTTTATTTAAGTCATCTGAAGCTAGAAACCAACTCACTTACTTGCATATACATATTCTTGGACCAGTGAAATTAAAGCTGTCAAGACACAACCTCCGTGACACAATTTAGAGTGTCAACCTGGTAGATATGAAAATGATCTCCTTGCACATCGTCTCTATCTTCACCAGCCTTCCAACAACAGAGGCCATAGGTTCCCTTTGTGACTTCATTCAATCCAATAGCATCGGTGTTGGGATACTGCCCCATTGCCTAAAAGAGCTGCTACCCTGATGCACCTCCAACGACTACCTTAGTTTCAAGAACGAAATATACAAACAAGTAGACGGAGTAGCAATTAATTCTCCTCTAGGACACCTCTTGGCCGACTGCTGTATGACTAGCCTAGCAAACAACTCCTCAACATCAACTATAGTCGTCCTCCATCTCTACGAGAGATACATCAGTTATACATTCACTATTTGTGATGAGAATTGTGATCTAAAATTCCTACTTCGAACCTTCAATAACGCCCACGCAAACATCGCCTTCACTCTGGAAATTTAGTCTGACTCAATGTTTCATTTCCCCGATGTTCAACTGAGAAGGGATGCTGACAACTCGCTAAGAAGATCCATCTACAAAAGGCACACATGGAACGGACAGTTTATCAACTTTCAAAGTTGTGTGCCTCTAAGCAGAAAGAGGAACCTAATATACCCTCTTTCCTCGAGGATCCGGAAGATGTGCACTGAGGAGTCGAGTGACGAAGAATTGCTAAATCTCCGATGGACATTGATAGAAAATGGATTCCCAACCAGAATCTGGAACCAAAGAAAACGCCTGAAAAGGTCCAGGTCGCCCCCAAAATGATGCTGACAATTGAAGTCGAATTTAAAAGTGATGCCGAAGCTGGACTTCTCCGTAGACGGCTTTCGAAGTCTCTCAGTAAAACATACTTCGCCGCCAGCCTACGAGTAATATTCTCCTGCAAGAAACTGCTCAACCAGCACATGAAAGACAAGCTGTCGCATTGGTCCACTTCAACATGCATGTGCCATTTCACTTGCTCGTGTGGAGCCGAATATACGTTTCACGCTAATGTCACACAGGACACAAATGGAATTATTGATGCTCTCTAAACCGGTTTTCTCCTCACGATAGCGCCCAATGCAAACAATTCATGCACATGCTGCCACAACCTTATGTCCTCTGGCTGATACTCACAGTGAGTTGATATTGTCGCTGAGTTAATGGGGTGAAATAGCTATTTCATAAATAACAACTTCAGCTTAGCGTGATTCGACTGAGTGGAGGAAGGTATGTGTGAGTTCTGAGTGTTTCAAACACGAGCAACAATGACTAGCCATTTCTAGTTATAGGACATTGTTAGTCAACGTGAACGTGTCAGAAGTGGCCAGTTCGAATTCTAATTTATTTATTACACAATACATATGGGTGGAGTAGCGATATACCGACTACCAAACTCACAACCACCACCTTCAATACATTGTAACAAACCTTCTCACTTACAGGATCTACCAGCATATATGTTCTGTCCAGATTGTAATCTGGTTCTGGAATCCCATGAAATCGATTGCGAATGCTGTGGTCGGCACCGATGAAATGTCCTTGTGAACCGTAAATTGGTAGATAGCTGTTGTTTTTCAAACAGGGAGATAATGCCACGAAGCCTTTAGGAGCGCACTTCGGTTCGTAACTCTGACCTTGGCAAAACTCTTGTGGTGATGGATAAACACTGTGGTCCATTTTATCTTCTGAAGCCGGTTCGAACAATAACACCTGTGAAAATTATGTGACGGGAAGTGAGATTTATTAGGAGTCTGAAGATAATTTCCATCATGCTGATGTCAGTAACACGTGAAGTCCTAACTTTTGAGCACCGAGGTGTCCCGAGTTATCGTCAACCGCGATTATTCACTAGCTCAGTTCTACCCTCTAAAAAACTCAATATGGATGCACAACCAACTTTGAGGCCTAGTGAACACTACGCTAAATATGTGTTTGTGTAAATGTGATCTGCGGTATTTCCATTGACATATCTAATATGTCAATGATTGCTGGGTCACATTCTCCACATTCTGGAAACAGATCAATGCAGTAGACATAGCAATCGCACATAGAATTTGATTCAAGTGACTGAACATTACCTGATTTCTAATAAATGACCAGGTAATATATTGACCCCTGCGAATTTGTGAATATGAGGAAGTATATTTAGAGAACACTTTATCAGGTGGAATGCTTATCCCAACAACCTACTGTATTGATGAGTCCTGAGGATATCCATTCTGCAAGACAATGGAGACTTCTACTCTCGCTGGAAATAACTGGAATATAACGTCCTCCTCAAATCTACCCACTGAAACCTACCAAGTGATACAATACATTTAAGTGGTCGACTCTCAACCTTCTTACAGATTACCTGTCACTATACTCACCATATATTAACAAAACCCTCATTGTGCAGCAAACAAGTGAAAGCCATTAAAGAAAAGGTAGTTCTGTAGATGTTGTTGTTTAGTTCATGGATCCATTGACAGATGTGTGAGAGAATGAGAATGGAATGAGTATATTCACATGCCACCCGTATTCTCAGTTTACCAAAACTCCGACGTGGGGTTTCACATGTCGCTTTCTTGTATGGCAAAACTCTAGGCGCCTTACATTCTTTCTTACTAGTGTTATGGACGGAACTACAAAGGACACATCTATTATGGGCATATGGGAAAATTTGGAGATATTATGCAACATCTGCGAGGAAACCTGCCCAATGAGACACTGGAATTCTGTAGAGGTGATGTTGAGCAAAACCTGTATAGCCGCCGCCTAAGGCAAAAAGAAGTGGAGAAACAAGAAATGGCTCTATAGAGACTAATAAAAGCTACTACAGGACACAGGGATGATGGAACAGAAGATGAGCCAGCGTAAAGATGAACAGCGAAAAGAGAAGCTGAATTCAGTCTACAGTCTACAACAAAGAAGTGAGGATGAATGTTAGTGGCGACAAAAGATAATTCCACGACACACTGGGAATGGAGGCGGAACAAGGTGCACGTAAGAGAGACGTCATGTCACCATGCCTGGTAACCAGTTCACTATCAGCGAAGTGATCAACACAGATGACACCGATGGAAAATTGTGAAAGCAGACTAATCACTAACCATAAGAAACAAAGGAAGCAATGGACCGACCAATTCAAAAGACTGGTGAGTCGGCCATCACCCACAACTCGCTCAGAAATACCACCAGCAGCAATCATCAGTGAACACCAAACCTCATACAAAAGCAGAAATCCTGAACGCTCTGAAGTTACTGAAAGCTCGAAAGGCATCAGGAGCAGACGGCATTCCTCATGAGGCAATGAAAATGGATCCAGAGACCTCAGGGGATATGCTCACTCAACTATTGCAGAAGGTTCGGGTGAAACGAAAGATATCTGCTGGCTGGAAGAAGGGCGACTCAAGCCTCTGCAAGATCCGGGTCGGAATCAGGCTCGTGTCCACACCAATTAAAATATTCGACTGTATCATCCTGCAGGCTCTAAAAGATGTTCTGTATGCAAACCTCCACCTGAGATAAGCTGGATTCAGGAAGGGCAGACGCTTCGTACCATCACTGAACAGAGCGTGAAACAGCATTCAAATCTCTACCTCAACTACGTCGACTTTGAAGAGACCCTCGACAGGTTTGACTGTGAAGTGATTTGGAAACTACTTCAACTGCTTTCTCCTGAAATAGGTTCTTGGTTGGTTCGTTCACGGAGGTCCTTGTTGCCAATCTTCGCTGTTCATGTGATTATCAGTATGGAGTAAAGTCAGCTTTTGATCAAAGTCTGTAGCCTGTGGGAAAGTCTTTTGGTGGGACGCCAACCAAGTCCGTGAGTCATACATACATAGAGATATATGTGTACACATATATATGGGAAGAGAGGGATAGACCCCATTACTCCCTGGGAATAATTGGAAAATGAAGATCTCTTAAACACGGCTCACTAGAACACATTAAGTGATAGAAGATAGTGAAGTGATGGATCCTCAACGTGCTTGCAGACTATATATTGCCAGACTCAACGTATATCAACGAAATGCCCATCATACGACCGAAGAATGAAAACTAGTATCAAAGAGGTGGTTCTGCAATGGTTGTCGTTTAGTCGATGTATCCAGCGAAATATTTTTGAGAGAATGAGAGTAGAATGAGTATCGGCTTCAATCGCACTCATGAAAGGCTAGTAGCAGTGTGGCGTCCATGATGGAGGGAAGAAAATAAATGAAATCAACATTCAAGTTCCACCGGCTCATTCAGGCTACTGAAGTACATTTCACATACGGCACTACCATCCATCTAGAAGTAACCCGGTGAACACTCTTCGTATCCATCAAATCAGTGAATTGATGGTAAGTGGTGTTAACCCTTCAAGGACTCAGTCATACTTCAGGTCAAAAGGGCGCATACACATATCTAGAACTAGATCAGTATAGTTGCAGTGGTATCTGATGAAAACTATGTACATACATATTAGTATATATATAGGTATATATATATATATATGTATTTGTGTGAAGTGAAAGCATTTTTTTGTAATGACCCCATATTACCTCGCGTGCAATACCTTCCTCGTTTCAAAGATTTCATAAATGGTGTTTTGAAATGAGACACTAAGAAACAGTAGAGAAATTTATTCTCCATATCGTAGTATGACTAATAAATAAGAAAGAATGATGTCTAGCACCAATGTCATGAAATAAAGTAACATCTATGCTCCCCAATTTTAAAGAAATCAACTAGTCCTCTAACCTTCAATTCAGGATAGGCGGGGTGGGGTACTTCTTTCATAGCCTCCATCATTACAGAACGACAAGCGCCATGGGCAAATAAATATCTTTGCGAACCGACAGTGAGTCCTGGCCCCAGGGAAAATCCATCTGTAAGGAAAACCAAATACCATCTTGAGCTGGAGTCACAGAAATAGCACGTGTTTACAATATCAACATGTCAAAGTAACTTGATTTCCAATTTGTGATTCACATTCATTAGTTCATCATATTACCAAAATCAATAGATGTCATTAATCCACTTTATTCGCTTACCACTGCCATTAATATAGTTCGCATATTCACTTTTCCATACATTGAGAACACTGCAAAAGAAATGAAAAGAAGAAATTTAGTTTGTGTTTCACGATTTCTAGCAACACATACACCAACACGCACACACAAAGAACACACACACACACAACATGGACCGGGGCAACGCAAAGAGTTCAGAGTATTGTTTGGAGGATAATGCTGCTTCGATGTTGTGTGGCAGTTATCAAAGTGGTCCGATAAGATTACACTCAACTACAGTCTGCACACTCCATTTTTCCGATGAACACAAATGATGTCCTTCGTGTCAAAGAACAGTCTCGAGTTTCAACTGGTCAAATAGCAGACACTTATTACACAACGGAGACGCGCTTATTTACTCAACAACCTCCTATCTCACACTAAGTGTCATCCAGGTCTTTCCTTTCATAACGCCTCTCTTATTTTCAAATTCTGCTTGAGATGTGAAATCCCTGCAAGTGGTTTCCCTATCACTCTCTTCCAATTCCGCACTCCAGCACAAAGAATACTGCACCTATTCCTCAACAACTAACAACAGGGTGCTTATACTCGATGGCTGTGAATATTAAGAATACACATACATTGTACTCTGCAAGTTATCTGGAGAGGTAAGAGGTGATGATGATATAGAAACGGTTAATGCTGTCGACAAAGAGATAATAAATATGGAAATAGACAGCAACAAAAGCCAAGCATAAGAGTAATGGAAATTATGTGTACGAACTGGGTTGAATGCAAATCTGTCCTCTCTGAACTTCTAGTTTCTTCCCTCTAATGCATTCCTTTATTCTAATTAGCTATTCCATCTGCTCTCCCCGTTATCGGTCAGTGTAATCATGAAGTGATTTGTTCGCCTTATGCAAGAAGAACAACAGTCACTCTGCTCGTCGAACATCTTCCAGTCACTGACGATGAAGGTCTTTATGCTTTTAGTCACCAATATCTCAGCCATAACACAGGATACATTCATTTCACAACCTGATACGGTCATTATTCACAGATGTGCGTTCCCCTGTTCCTTTCTACAAACTGTCGAGTGAAGCTATCGTCGTGATTGTTGTTACTGAATAGGATGAATCACTTGAATAATGAATAATAACTCATTTAGCTTGAAATCATTGCTTTTGGAAATTGTTACCTTTGGCCATTGAATTTCACCACCTTTCCAAGCTCATTAATATCATCGACTCCAGTTTTAATAACAAACTCATTCTCTGATGTCCCATTCTCCTGAATGTTAAAATACAAAAAAAACGCTGGTCAGGATATCGTGGAGAAAAGCATTTCCTAACAATCACACACCAATATACAGTCGATATCTCACTCACTTCTTTCCACAGGATATTCAAATAACAGTGACTTAACAAGAAGACTTTGTGTCGAAGAGAGAGTATTTAATTTGATGGTGGTAGCAAAACACTTGTCTACTGAATACCTTGAACACTCATTTGTACTTTGACACTAGGAACAAATTGTATGCTGTATCCTAGTGTTTCTTCGAATTCGCCAAGACGTGAGGTTGCAGTTCATTTCCAAGTCAAAATTGCCCGGCTGATTAGAGAATGCACAAGACTGAATGCCATGGGGGGGCTTATTTTTATTACCACAAAGACTACCATTATTATTACTATTATTACTGCTGTTATTATCATAGCCATTCTTCCAACTTTTTACTAACACCAGATTGTGAAATATGTGGAATTTCAGAAAATGTTTCCTTAACTCACTGGTCAACTTACTGTGTGTCAGAAGTTTAGATACTTCAGTTCCGTCTAAACATCCTTCGAATGTAGGTGTTTGTGAAGAGATCACGGAGATCAGATTTTGCAACCTGTGATAGTGATTTTGAAACACTGTACAATAGTTAGAGTAGACTGTGCAAATTAGCGTCTCACTGAATTTTATCTTTTTGAATCTTGCAGTTTGCTGGCTTAAATATCTGTGTTTTAACTTTGTCTTAGTGAAGGTAGATGATCCTTTCAACGACTTATTTATCAATACAGGTGGTTCATCATCACTGACGAAGGATATACTCTGACTGAACAGTATTCACCATTTCAGCGAATCTCTGCCTTTGTTCAAAAGAAACACGTGTATGATATCTTTCAGCACCAAAATAAAGACAAAAGTATTCACAAGCTTGTTCGGTCTCCAAAGTCGACTGATTTCTAACTCTTGGTAACTCCAACTGCCTTTATGAATTCAACTGTTCGTGCGTCATGAAGTACACAATGAAGAACTGAGAGGTGGTTGTCTACTGGGATTATTGGAATCCTGCCATGATATCCGCGTATTAGAGTTTCAGCCTGATTTATTAATGCACCTAGGTGACGCAATGCACCAGATCAATTTGCAGGTATCTTTCAAGGTGATAAACAGACAAGATGCCACACGAGTACCCAAATTACTAGAGGTGGCGATTTCGGAGGAATGAACCCTGAATTTAGTGTTCAGAAAGCGACTAATACAAGCCTATTATTGCCTTGACAAGCATTGACTGCTTCATTTCAACCCTCCGAAATTTCAGCTAGCTTTTATTAAACAACTTGGTGCTTACATCCGTATGCTTTCATAGTAATCAATATCCTTGCTAGTCTTTGTTATCATTAATATCCTTCAGTTCGTTTGAGCAGCTATTCACACGCAGCAATCAACTGCGTCCATATTAAAACTCACCTTTAAACTCTAGAATATTCTCCTCTCTAACTCCCTACGTTGATTATAATGCATTTTTTTAGATTTCTGCATAATTTACACGTTATCTTCGTTCTCAACAGTTTATTTTATTCACATAAAATAAACTGACTATTCAGTTAAACTATGCCAAAATCCAAATGACAGTGATTACTTATGCACCGTACTTCTGAGGTTGTATGCAGCTGATGAAATTCATATGAAATTAAACATCGAAACAATTCCAACAATGGTGTGAACTGCCAATTAAAAAAACCTATTATTGTGCGTAATTTATTGAAATATGGTTATAAGTTTTTTAATTAATTTGTACTGAAACTATACTCAAGTTTATATTTCACAAGAAATTTAACTCACACCGACAAATACTGACACTTTGTCAGATGGACATTGTCCATAAAAGTAACAGGATTCTATGTTTCCATGGGTATACCCCCAAATTATTTCCTGAGGTGTTGCCGTTACAAATGGCTTAGCAGCGACCAAGAATGTCCTTGTTAAAACACTAAAACCTTGTAGCACTAGGGCCTACAAATATAATTGGAGAAATTCCAAAAATCAACCAAATAATTAAAATATTTATAATAAGTAACAACATGGATTATGTTATTAGAAGCCGAGATTATCTGAAATATGTGATGTATTTACGCAACGCATTTCGAACAACCTGATCACACGTTTACTTGTCAAGACAGAAGAATGTGAAATCAGTCACAGTGCCCTACAAAAATGGTACATCAGAGGCAATTCGAAGAAACCTCAAATATATTGTGAATCGCAAGTCGTTCAAACTGGTGAATCTAATTAAATACAAAATATATCAGCTGAAAGATCCCATTAAAATGATGGATAAAAACAATGTGATTTACAAAATATCTTGTGTTGCGTGTCCGACTAAATATGTGGGCCAGACGTCCAGATCACTCAAAATAATAGTGAAAGAACATAAACGCCTAACTAAAGGTCAACCAACAGGAACACAAGCTTATAAGAATTTAGAAAAAAATTCATCTATAGCTGCACATGCATGGGACAAAAACCACAATATGTCCTTCTAACTTAACCTAAGTCTATTTTCTCACCTCTTAACTCTTTGTTATATATATGCTGAGATTTTGTAAATTCCGGTTTAACGATACTTTGATAAAGCTATTGGCATTAAATAGCGAAATGTCAGCAAAAACGAAATCGTTTTGTTTTTCATTCATTGGGAAATACAAAAACCTTCATTACAATATTTGTATGCTAAACACTTATATGAACAAATGGAATGAGAGACTTATAACAGGATCTATATTCATTAAGGTCACACCAGATACATGTAACAAGGGTAACTCAGTACAACTGTCAACACCCTAGAATATAATTCTGAATACACAAAAATGAATGAAAAAAATGAACTATATATATGAGTACAAATCATAAATGTGTGAACAAAACAATTCCAACTGTGGTGTGAACACGGGCTATAATTTTGCTCGAAATATTACCAATAACAAAAATTATCATTGTGCGTAAACTATTGAAATATAATTATACTTTATTTGATCTATTCCACAGTGCGCAAACCTTTTACTGACATTAATATTAATGAAATTAATAAAGAGTTGAGAGGTGAGAAAATAAATTTAGATCAAGTTAAAAGGACACTCTGAAGGTCAAAATAGGAAAGACGATCAGTAAACCAAATGACTTAGGTAATAGTACATCTGCCATGGTATCAAAATTTACCAAGGAAGGTTTAATGTGATGACGATTTGTTGCTTTGAACGCATAAAGGTGGTTTAAACTTTCTAACTGCTAGGGCTTCTACAAACTTTAGGATACGCCCCAAACACATTTCATGGGTGGGCTTAAAAGATGGGTAAACGTCAATTTTATGTCCTGTCTCTATAATGTGTTTCGCAATAGAGGAGCTAGATCTCCTGTTCTCACCATTAATGGGTTCTGAAGATTCTGTTTGCTTCTGAAGCCACTCAGGAATATACTCTGAAGCCCTTACTTGCAGAGATCGATGAGTCCTCCCTATGTATGTGTGTCCACACGTACATTCAAATTGGTAAATACAGTGGGATGTGACATCATTTTTCGCATGTTCAAAGGGCTTAGATGGATATATTGGTTTCACATTCTCAATTATTATGATACTAAATTGACCTAAATTTATTTTCTCACATCTCAACTCTTTATTCATTTCATTTATACGCCTATGACAAGTCTGTGTGTCATCAGATTATTCGATATGTGCTGCGCAAATACATCACACGATTCAGACGAACTACGTCTTCTATTGCTTCGTCTAAATTCATAAAGGGAACTAACTGCTTTTACGAGTTTATCACGGATTGATATCGGCTGGAGAACTAACTGTTTTAAATTCATTATTACTCCTAACCCACCTTGGTAATCCTTATCTGATTGGATAACCAAACGTTGTGTTATTTATTCTTGTTATTCTTAAATCCCTTTTGTCACTTTGTGTACTTGAACTGCTCTGAATTTTTTACATAAATTGACTTGATAAGTAAACGTGTGGTCAGATTGTTCAAAATGTGTTGCGTAAATACATCACATATTTCAGATAATCTCCGTCTTCTAATAACATTATCCAAATTTATAAAGGGGACTAATTGTTTTAATAAGAATAAGTGTCTAATTTTTAATAGTTGGGTATATTTCGTAAATACGTGGTTTTTTCACATTCGATGAAAAGTAGCAAAGATTATCACCAGAAATCTTTTAAATAACACAAATATCTTTTAAATTGTTCAAATGACAACACACGCATACGTGCGGTTCATATTTTCAGACACTAGGCAAAGACATTCATTGGGCTAACGTGTGTTCAGACGTCATAAGTTCGTCAGTATCAGTTGCGAAAAGTATCGATCAAATCTAATGCATTAAGGCTAACCAGAGAATGGGTACTACTCGTAATCTATTCATCACCATCAAAGACTCCAGAGGAAGAAATTACTGCGTTTGAAGGCGGAAAGGCCACCTGCCTGATCACCTAGTGGATCATATAATCCGTCAACCGAATTCACTGTCTTTACACAACTAAGGGCAGTAAGACGACAGAATACCTCAGATCAGGGGAATTCGAATAGTTTGTTAATCCGCTGTACGCGTGTCTGATTAGATGCTCCAGTCATAACCTACTTGAAGGAAAAACAATCTTTAACCAGTTACTCAGCAAGTACTTTTATGCATTCCTTCTTCTCCCCTTAGACAGCCATACTGCTATCACAAGAAATATGTCACCGATCTCAACACTGAACAATTCATCACAATACACACAGGGTGTAGCCTTAACATTGTTTACTCCAGTCTTAACGGTTTCAGACATCATGCTTATCAAAAATGCTATTAAGTAAATTTATTTGCGAAGTAGCAGAGTAATAAAGTACTTTGAATACAAAGTGTCAACAATAAACTTTATTCTAGAAGCGTCTTCTACACACACTACTGTTCTCCGTCAATTTTTAATAATAATAGGTAACTGTAGTAGTATTTGCGAATCCACTTCAATATAGGCTGGATAAATTGTGAGGTGATGATACACTAGTATGTCTGATGAACAAGATAAACTTTTACATGAAAGTGTGTTGCGCGAATGAACTACAAAATAAGTTATTCACCTCACATTTGTATCAGAGAAATTACCGAGGATTGCAAATTGTAAGAGATGAGAATATTTCAGTACTTACTGCGGTAAAAATATCCAAAGAAGTTACTTTGCCGACAAATGGGTTCACAGACATTTCATCATGAATTTCGAAGTAATTGGTTTTTTCTTTGTACTGAAGATATTTTGGAGGTGATTCATCAGAAAATTTCATATCACTCTTAAACGTTTGCTTCCTATGTAAACCAATTTTTCATTTCAAAAATCGTAAGATAAGAGGTTACTTTCATCAAGCTAACAAGATTGACAAACGTGTTTTAAAAATTTAGCTGACAGATATCGATAACGCATAAGAAAATAATAATCGAGATTGAACGAAGCTCTTAACAAATGCATATAAAATACTATTACTATCTCACATACCTAAGAGGTTTAAATCCATACCAGACATAAAACAGTGACAAGACTGGAGACTGACAAACTGTTTGCGAAACAGTTCCAGAGAACCACTCTTCACTATAGTCCCCTCTTACTCCTACTCCTATTTCCAACTTAGAAAATATCTGAGGCACTCGACCGATAGATATCTTAGCACACAAAGAATCATTAGAGAGCGTCCGCACTAATAATAACCAAGTTACTAGCTCAAATCAGTAAAGTGTGTATCAATTGATATAGTTTGATAAGAATAATGGAATAGCTCACTTATAACGAAACGGTCCAACTTCCGTGAAAACTGGTTTGGCGCCATTGAGAACGGCGTGCTCGTTGGTTAAGTTGTAAAGGTAAAGTGATGTGTTAAGTGCTGTATCGTTTCCGCTGAAACTTTCAAACACAAGACTGTCAGGGACGAGGGTGAAGAACTAGAAAGGAAACAAGAGGCGAAAACACAATGCATAGCTTTCATTAATATTTCAATAAAGAGATCGTCAATTTTATGTTATGTAAAGAGCTGTGTGTTGAGGATGTTTTCACCTGAGAGTGTTTGGCCATTGAGAATTAAATGGTCGAATATCCTCTTATTTACTGATGAAACGTCAATAAAATTTTCCGTTCAATTTCAGAATCGTCGTCATGAACATAGAAAGGATAGTCTCGTATCTCCTCAACTCAAGCAAGTTCCGTCATAAATGATTAACCACCATATGCATACATATATATAATTCGCTTTGTTGAGGGAATTTAAGTGTTCAGTCGTTCAGTTACTGCTGATAAACAACGATTGTGAACTCTTCGCCATCGCCAAGCAGGTTTCCCAAAATCATCTTTTCAAACATTCATTTTGATAACGAATAAGTTTGCATAGTCTTAAGAAGAATGAAAAGTGAAGTAATATGAGTGCTCCACAAGATGAAATGACTCAATCTATCAGGATAATTCATCGAAGGCTGATCAGTTGACCAGTGCTGACTGTGTCAGTTATTCACACGATTATTTTACTTACAAATTATATGTGATAAAAATGAACAACTTACGCGTGCAATTACAGCACCGTGAATTCGATCGACATAGTAGTGGAGGACTACGCAACCAGTGAATAGAATGAAGGATACGACAAAAATGGTGTGAGCCAACGATCGACAAACGTTTCCTTGAAGCATCACTACGTATTTGTGTGGTTTTCAGAACAAAACTGGCTTCCTTCTTGGGAGGTATCGATGAATGCTGATGATGGAAAAAAATTCGATAATTTCTCGAATAAGCGGAACTCTGTGTGAGTGTTGCCAAGGATTTAGGCAACATACACGTGGAGAGAAACAGTAAATATAATGTCATATTTCTTTAATTTTCGGATGCTTCCATCAATATTTCAGAAATCTATCTATGTCATCATCATCATCAGCCACAACATTGGCAGCAGCAGTGGTGACGTGTGAGGATATAACGAAGCATTGTTTGGATTGTGTTTAGACAACTCGATTCTATGCTTAAACGACAGTAACCCCACATAATGGATACTGTTTTATCCATCCGTGTTTTGATGACAGTTCTTCGCGTAGCTCAGCATCTTGGTGGTGGTTTATTCATATTGTTTTCTAATTACATTTGCTGCTACAATCCATGCGTCATTCAATGAATCTTGTCAAATTGTCCTAATTTGCTAGGCACCAGGCAGTTTGTAGAACAGACATGCATGGTCAGGCTTCCTTATCGTCTCAGGAAGATTACATCGAATACAACCTGTCTGCTACTTGTGCCTCATTTTTATAATTGTTTCCAGTGAATCATTTCCGTGAGTAAAGCAGACAGTACTGCATTAACATCAATATATGGAGTCAATAGCGGTCCTTTTACTGTTCGTCTTGTACATTCACATATATATATATATATTTATATAAATTTCATCCAAGAATCCCTTATCCTCATAAACTGTATCTGTATTAATCTTACAAGACACTCATTAGATCAGTCAAATCGTCTATGGTTATGTCACATAACCAATCACCATAGGAACCAAAAGAATACTACTCTCCACAGACAAGTGTTTTATTACTACCACAAATTTTAAAACATTAACGCATATATGGAAATCAAATTGAGAAGAATCTCAAATAAACAACAGTACTCACTGAAAAGTCGACCAGAGAAAGCTGTACAAAATGTACCCAACCAACTTTGGTTTATATAGGATTCTCAATCTCGTTTATCTGCTGATCGGATGACACAAGGTTACATTTGTCGGTTAACATACTGAATTGTCTACACTTTAACAAAAGAACAATGCTTTGTATACATACAATCTTGTTGGTGTAATTATCTCTTATCAACAAAGAACACATAGCAGTAACAAGTTTGCGTGGTATGCTATGCTATGCTATTGTTCAAGCAAAATAAGAATAGTGTAATTATCATTTACACAGATACTGTTCAACTCTTGACGTGTTACTTAAAATAATATTCTAATTAAATAAAATAATGTACGCTTAAGGAGAAATATTTTATACACTTTTCATAAAAGTCAGATAATTTCCATTAATTTTCTCATATCTTTCCATTTAAATTGTTTAGTTTAAATGTTACTCTTTATTAGTGTCAAGGTTATCCTACCATCGTTATCACAATGCACTTTCAATCATTAGATACGCCACCACTTTTTAGATAAACAAACAGACATACGCGTTCCAATCTTTAAAAAGGTTATTTGCTCAGTTTTCCGTGTGTAGTATTTAAATATCAATGAATTGGATCGATATACCAGTAACTTGCATCAATTTCAGGTTCTACAACACTAATGCGTCTCCGAACTGATATTAGATGGTAGTAGGCAATCGGCAAGAAGCCCTGGACCCAGGTTTTGTGCCTGTTGGTACTCGTCAGTAAGGCGTACCTGCAACTTTGAAGGAGATAATGACCACTATGAGATCGAGTCTGCATCACCCAGTGCTGCAGTCAGAGATATTACCATTGAGCTGGTCGGTCTCACAACTGACTTCTTGTAGGACTGTAATGCATACATTGACTGGCCACCGGTGCGTCGTCAGTTTCATGCGTCTAGTACTTTTTGTTGGTGTAGTCTGAATTTTATCAGTCGACACGTCTTTGTTGATAAGAACCTGATAGTAAAGTGAAATAGCACTAGATCATACCTGCGAATGTCTCATTAGTATATCTGCAGTCACTAAAGTATTAATCCACAAATGCTCAACACTATTCTATTTCATGTTCCACTGTGTAAGGTGTGCAATAAAAATGCAGTGCAAAATAAATGATAAGGAACTCTATATTAATTACTTTCAGAATGAAATTGACTTAATTAAAAAGGGAAAAGCGAGCATGGCCATGCGTTGAAAACACCACAACCAGAACAACGTTAAACTTTAAATTTCGATACTGTTCGGTGAATCTCACCTTACACATATATTAAAACCCTCCAGATGAGACTGGACGCTTAAAGTAATTTCTGTTAAATCATATGTCAAGTTATCAGAAAACTAGTGTGGAAAAACTAATCACTAAAAACTAATGAATTTCTGTTGAATTTACCATCATTGCTCTATTCAATGTCTTCAGATACCCAGATATAAGATGATGATCAATGTTTCGTCTCTCTCTTAAGGATTTAAATGAAAACTTTAAGACATAGAGTAAAGTATCAAGCACCTAAATCCGTTGTTATTAATCCGCGAACACCCCTATACATCACATCCCTAATTTTCCACGCTTTTCAGTGAAATCTGGACCTTGTGAAGTTCTAAATGCTTCAAAGTTGCAGTGAACTTAGCCTGGAAGACGCAAAATGAACAACGCAACTAAGCGTAGCTTGAAGATGAAACCAATCTTGAGACAATCTCATGAATTAGTATGAACTGGTACAAAACTCGAGGTTCTGGGTAAATTGAGTAGAAATCAATTCACCTAAAAGTTTATGAAAGGAAGAGCTGTAGAATAGCGACTCAGCGTCACTAAGGAACCCATCAGGAATTAAACTGACGACAACAAAGTTATCAACTTACTACGTTTACCATCCGATCACTGTGTTGTGCCAGAGAAATGCTGGTATATACTTCTACTCAAAAAGGTGAGTTTGTTTTCTTACCCTTGATGTCAATGAAGTGGGCACACCAGACTTACTGTGTTTCCGGATAACTCAGAAGAGTTTCAGGTTGTCTAAAGACACTTTTTATGAATAACATGTCTAGTGACTAGAACAGTAAAGGTGTGTATTCAAAATGTGTTAGATACATTCATTAGAGAAATGATGGGCTGTTTCCAAGATATATTATTCTTTTCTCTCTCCGGATATTAGTATTTACCTATAATTGCAGAAGGTACAGAGAATGACAGCTGACATTAAAAGAGCGCCCGTAAACTCTTCAATGCAGCAACATCGCCTTGGCTGAAATAAGTGTTCAGTGTTTCATTCTGATCTTCGGCAATATTGTTACCATCTATGCACTGTTGAATAGACACCAGCATTTAGTTTGGCGTCATTTCCTTTGAATTCCTGCTATGATGCCACTTCATAGTTGATAAGCAATTTCTTACTCCAAATTTATGTTAGTTATGTAAAATGGTTCTGGCCTGCTCTTCTTTGTAATCTTTGATATCTACTACACTGTGATTGTCGCCTATTCTGTGTTCGGAAATCACGATCCTTTTTACATGGTATAAAATTGTCCAGACAGTTTGTTCTTCTCCTTATTATTATCATTATTATTATTGTTATTGTAATCCACAGTAGATTCGACGCTCACCTGCATAGCAGTGAAGGATCTAAGCAGATATGAAATAAATC